AAGGTGCTTCAGGGTCTGCATCGATGGCCCCAGCATGTCGGCGAGGCTGGGCGTGACATCCCAGCACTCCCAGACTGGGAATAGAGCGAGAAATGAGAAATCTTGATGATCCTGATGATGAAGAAGAACAAGCTGTCACTCACAAGATATGTCAACCTCGGCAAGGTTTCGACAACCCCGGAACAGCTCCTGTAAAGCCTCGCCTTCATGGGATGATTCGAGAGTCACTTTTATCTTAGACAGAGACCCGAAATCAATGAGCGGTTGTCCATCGGGCAGTCGAGCTCTAAAAAGCTGCGTTACAAGAGCCACGCTTCTCCACTCTGCTGTGAATCCATTCAGTTGGATTGGACGCGCAGGCAAAGATTCAGGAAACGTAGTTTCCGCTGCCCCACTCGTATGCAGGTCGATATGCAAGTATTTGAGATTGACACAGGGCGCAAGATCCGATAGAATGAAGTTGCTGAAATTGGTCACCTTAAAGTGAACAAGGGTGGGAAGATGCAAGAGGTGAAGCAATGCTGGGCGAATTGGGTTGTTGTTCCAGTCGAATTCCGGCATAAGGCTGACATGACTCCGCCGGATTGCAAGAAATTGCAGTTTAGAAATTCGTTTCAATGATTCTTGAATCGATGCCAGGCTGGTCAAGCCCGTAGCTCCAATGGTATAATCCAAGTCGCGAATGTAATCTGCGATTTCAGGTCTTTTGTGAACAAGCCGTTCAAAGGCCTCCGCGTTGTGATCTTTAATGACGATGATTTTAAAGATGTGTTTCCTGCAGGTGGGAAGAAATGCCTGGCAGGCTAGAGAACATGCTTTCAGTGCTGAGTGGTGTTGGTCGTCTTCGGCGAGAAGATCGAGTATTGTTTGTTCAATTTCGAGGGGAAGTATGGAAGTAGAAGGCATGGTCAAGAATATTAAGTAATTACGAGCAAGCTGCGAGAAAGATCATCGATCAATTGATGGCAATCAAATCTTGAACCGGACCGTCTGTGACAGTGCCAGGGCTTTCTGGAGTTCCAATGTCGCCATCGGAATTCACTGGACCGTCTCGGATAGTGGCGGGGAGATACCCTGCTCCAGGGACCGACAGCCTTGCAGATGCAATGCGCGAGCGTCGAGGAGCTCGTGGGCTCACCCCGCTCGATGCCAATCTCCTCCACATTCCCCTGATCGCAAGCGGATACAACACAATGCTGGGAGCCATTAGGACCAAAGGGAAGCTCCCAGGCGATATCCGTGAAGCAATGGTGTGCCGGACTTACTTTTACGATGTTATATCAGCTAACCCGAACATACAGATTCTCCGTGTTGGAGCCATAAATCATGCCGCCTTCGAGTGGATTCACCACGAGAACGTTGGCCGAGAAGAGGGCCTCACTACAGGCCAGTTATACGCTATTCGTGACGCGAAGACGCCGTTGCCACCTGTTGGGACCATCCTTAGCTCCCTGCAAATTGCCGCGCTTGCCTACGCGGATCATAGCACTCGGGACGTCCGCGTACCCATGCCAGTTATTCAGGAATTAAAGCAGCAGCTCAAGGCGTGGGCTATAACGTCGAGCCCTTCTCTGGCCGATGAGGATATTAACATCAAAGTTGATGACCTCTATGTGGAGGCGGTGATGGTCGTGGCTGCATACAACCTGGTCTCCCGCTTCCTGCTGGGAACGGATGTTGCAGGAATATCTGACATGGAAGTACCTTGGCCGGTGGAAAGGCGAGAGGTGAGCAATCGATCTTTCATATTTTTTAAATCCGGTCCCCAATTTCATCTCGCTTTACGTCGATCTCAAAGATCTGAATGCTTTTTTGATCTCTCCCGCATTGCGCCTAATTTATTTACATTGCCCTGATCATCAACGTCCATTAGCACTTCATCGTGCTCCCGTCGTTTCCCTCTGCCTCAGCACCGACCCACACTATCCATGCAGTCACTTTGATCACCTCTCCCTCTGCCCCGTGGCTCGTCTTCGCCAACTCTCTACTCACGGATTGGTCTATGTGGAGCTTCGTTATACCCTACTTCCTCGACCTTCAATCCTCAGAAAATACCACGTACAATATTCTCCTCCATTCCCAGCGTGGACATGGTTTGTCTACCCTTCCACCGAAATCGGAGTTGCATGAACGCCGCACCACAATTCCACTTCTTGCAACCGATATCGCGAATATCCTTGACGCTCTATCTATTCCCACACCTGTACGCGCAATAATTGGTGTCTCGCAGGGAGGAGCAGCTGCCCTCGCGTTCGCTGCCATGTATGTAGACAAGACCAGAGGAATTGTCGCATGTGATACTGCGGCACGCACTCCAGCAGGAAACAAGGAGGCATGGGAGGAACGCATCCGACTTGTCCGAGGCCCTGAGGATTCAGTTCTTAGCAACGAATACGCCAAAGACACTGGGATGGGTAAGCTTGCAAAGACAACCGTTCCGCGCTGGTTCCCGCCTGGGTCTCTCTGCAGCTCCGGCGTTGCAGAGGGGGACAAACAAGCGCGCTCGGTTGAAGAGATGGTTATGCGAACAGATGTCGATGGATTCGTCGAGGGCGCTCGAGCTCTTGGCGATTACGATGTCCTTGGTTTGAGCCCAGCTGGTGTCGCCTCCTCCGACAATGAAGCCCTGTTCAAGACAAGTGCCGAACGGATCCTCTTACTTGCAGGGAGTCTGGATGGTGGTGGGAAAGTTGGCAAGGGACTACAGGACCTTTCCACCAAGTGGAATTCCCCAAGCACCACATTTGTAGAGATTGAAGGCGCTGGCCATCTACCGATGATAGATTCACCTGCCAAGTTCTGTGACGCTCTGAAGCAATGGTTAGGTACATTTTAAGCGCTTACCGTACATCGTTTGACGCAATGGAAAAGTATTTCCCTCGGCGCATACCCGCTAGCCACGCATGCCTCGATGACTTGCGGCTCATTAACTTCTACTGCGCTGCTTCGCACAACACACAGTCTGCCTAGTGCTACCTGGGCCGAGAATTGCCGAGTTTCGAACTGTTCCGAAGGGGTTTCTCCCTGAAACCGAGGTTTCGCATTTTCTAATAGCTTTTATCTGTACAACGATATGAATTCGAATGTTACTGAAGCTTCCACCACCTCAAGGCCACATCAAGATGGTTCTGATCCCCAAAAGCTCAACGATAAACCTGTGTATGTCTCTCGCCTATATGAGTCTACGATTTTTAAACTGATGCCCCGATTTTAGCGACGTAGTCTTTCTCCAGGACACAACGGGTAGTCAAGGCCGCTATATCCAATCTGCACGCAAAGCCATCCGTGATATTTGCGACAAGATCTCTACCTCTGGACACATTTCCAAGGATCTCATTCGATTCGGACTCGTTGCGTTCCGTGATCACCCTCCACAAGAATCAACCTACGTCACCAAAGAGTTTGGATTTACCTCTGATATAGATGTCATGCAGAGAAATTTGGCCAGTCTCGTCGCTTCTGGGGGAGGTGATGGACCGGAGGCGCAGACTGCGGCCCTTGCGGCGGCGTTGAATATGGATTGGGCTGAAAATTCCATGAAGATAGTAATTCTGATTACGGATTCTCCACCTCATGGTATCGGCGAACCCGGAGATGCGTTTATCGAGTCCCCCGATCGTATGTTCTTTGATGGGCGCCTATTTGGAGATACATATCTGATTTACTGCCTCAGAAAATGACCCTCTTGAAGTTGTTCGACAAATGGCCCAGCGTGGAATAACTGTGGTGAGTATATACTTTTGACCGGTGGTGCAGTGATAATTCATTCTATCAGTTTGTAATTGGATGCGAGCCTGCGCTCAGCCGATACGTAGTAAGTTTGAACGAAATTTGGGCAATAACTCGTTAACGGTGTCGAATAGAACGCCGTCGACTTCTACTCCGCGTTGACTCAGCTTACGAGGTGTATTATCTTGGCCAAGGTAGTTTGTTAGAAACTAACTACTCCTCGTTCCAGTGGGAAGATGTTCCCTCTCCTCATGGCCGACAGACTAGGCGACTATATCGTTGGGACAGTGGTCGAGACTATCGAGACCGAGAAGCTGATTGGGGAGTTTGGGCGATTCATCTTGGACGACGTCTACACCAATGCCACGCCCACGGCGGATATCGCTCAAAAACTGCAGGCCTCTATGAAGGAAAAGGGAGTGAAGATTAACACGATCGAGGTTGAGAATGTTTACAATGAGACAGCGGCGAGCAAGAGAAACGTCGCCAGTTGGAGTGCAGCTGAGAATTTGAAGAAAGGTCGGGAGGCCATCACTCCGGTGAGTTCGAAATGACACAGGCTCTCACAACTTAAATTTAATTTCCCCAAAGAGTACTGCGCCACGTATGCAAGCCGAGTTTGTTGCAGGGAAAAAGGCTCCAAGCTACTCGATGAGAGAACAGCCAAGCAGTCTCGCTCAGGTGAATAAATGTGCTTCTCCAAGCTGGTATCGTAATTTACAGGATGGCTTTTACCTAGGCAAAACGCATCGTAAAATCTTCCATCGCACGGAATTAACTATCTAACTATCTGATGCTAGTTAGTGATAGTAAACCGTGGTTATTGTAACGGTTCTGTCATTTCAAGTCTCAAGAACACTGGCATTGCCTTTTTGGGACAAGATTTGCACTGTGTCACAACACGTCACAACCTGCCAAAAACTTATTCCGAGTTCCGAGCTGAATATCTAGGGATACACTGAGCGAACAACTATGAACTGAGAGCTTTAGGACCACCCCGACGAGTAGATACGCGCCCCACGTTGAAATATCTAATTCGGAGAAGGTTTGATGGCGTTAGAACATGTGGGCCTCAAGCAAGGCTTCAAGGATCCCGAATACGAAATTCTGAGACAACGGCTCGGTGAAAAATGGGCTTCTTTACTCCTTGCATGTGAAGGAATGTGCGCTATAGAAAAACTCGTCCAAAAGTGTTGAATTCGTGGGAATAAACACCGTTGGCCCCGTTGATCGCCGTGTGTCAAGATAATTCAAGCTCTCTCCGTTTCTATGGCCGTGTGGCGAAATGGCATCGCGTCTGACTACGACTCAGCGCGCTTAATCAGGAGATTGCAGGTTCGATCCCTGTCTCGGTCAGCCTTTTTGTCCCCTACTCCTTCCCTTCACGAATACATGAACGAATTCTACAAGAATCGCGCCGTGGAACGAGCAAATTTTGATTTTGCTGTGTTGATGCCACCCCAGCTGATGGATTGACACCCACCTTCCAAAAAAGGATGTCAAGGGATGTCATCTCACTTTTCTAAACCCAAAGTTTGTAATATGTGGTCCACCAAAATGAAGTATTGCTCTTCCATGTTCACAGCCAAGTCTGAGGAGTACTCCAGGGAAAAGCAAATTCCCCTCATCCAGGACAGATTTTTTTTGGTAAACTCTGGGTCCTTGTTGAAGTGTAAAGTATTCTGAATCTAGGAAAAGTTGAATCAGAAGAAAAGATGCACTCATTCCCAAGATATGGACAGAAGAAAATCCAGCATAATTTGGGCTAAAAACAACTAAAAATAACCATTTAAGTTGGCAATTCCACAGGAATGAAAACATCTAGTGGTCTTTAAATGCACTTACTAAGGGTCTGGAGGTTCACAAAAGCCCTTGGGGGTTGAGAATCTGCATATTTTTAAAAATTCCCCCTGTAGGCAGCAAGTCCAAACTTATGGGCCCATATGCTCAAAGTTGGCAGTGTGCAAGGAAGAATAAAACATTTTATAATCACAGCAGTGCCAACTTTTCTGTTTAAAATATTGAGGTGATTGGGAGTTATTCTGCTTAGCATCCACCTTGAATAGGTTATGAAAGGGCAATGCAAGCTGGGGCAAGTTTGGACATTGATTAATTACAAAATTCCGCCCACTCTAATCCTCTGACCTCACTCTTTCCTTAGTGGTCCAGTGGCAAAGGGGTCAGGACTATTTAGCAAGAGAGATGAGCCTGCGTCCCGAGTCAGGTTATAACCAAGCTGGCTGTGGCTGCAGCTGGCTACTCGAGTACACGTACGCAGGCTTTGCGAGCGCTATAAATAACTAGCCTCTGCTGAAGGAGGACGCTGTTTGCAATCTAGAATTGCTTCAATTGTACGTAATAAATGTTATTTGAGAACTTGGTCCATCTACGGAATTGTCCTCGTATTGCAGAAGCTTCGAGTACAAAGCTTTGCGAGCGGTATCAATAACTAGCCTCTGGCGAAGGTAGACGCGGTTTGAAATCAATAATTGCTTCAATCGTATGTAATAAATACTATTTGATAACTTAGTCCATTTACGGAATTGTCCTCGAATTGCAGAAACTTCGAGTGCAAATTTCTTGGAGAAAGTCCTATGATCATAAATACCTTGCCTTCGGTAGTATCACAGTCCGATGGCGGCTTCGACCAGGCCGGGGACCGCATCCCAAAAGTCGAGCACTGAGAAAGGTGAGTTCAAGACAAATCGTTCTAACGGGGAACTAGAAATTGTACGCACTGATTATACCAAACCGCTGGCCTTTCCTTTCTTTCAACCAGGGGAGAAGCTTCTGGTTGATGCCTGGAACATCTGCGCCGCTTCCCACAGCGAAAACCTAGAACAGATCAGGTTCCAACGTTCAAGGATATAATAAGTAAAGACGAACTTCAGGTGACATGGCCGGGGTATCGTTGATAAATGCTGCGCTTGCGAAACTGATGTACAGTTGGTCGGGGTTCAGGCTTTTGGAAGTCGCATTCGTGATGTGGGCGGTAAGAACCTCGAATTTGGAGTCGATGTACGCAGTTGGTCCCGAGCCCAGAGGTACGTTGTCGATTTCGTAGAAATCCTCAAGAAAGATACATCAGACTTGGAAGATTCGAATCTGGAAGGAACGTTTCTTACCTCGATAAAAGCGACTTGGTTCTTGTCGGTGTTATACACCAATTCAATGGCCTTTCCATTATCCGTCCAGGATCGGTCCAAAGGGATGCCAATACGCTTCGTTAAGTCGGAGGGAAGCTTGTTATAGCTCCAGCGCTGTAACAAGGTTAGCTTTCCACGCGCCGCTCCGAGTGTGCCCAGCTAAGAAAAGCATTGAAGGAAGAACAGATAAGGGAGGGCAGATTATACGAGAAAGAGTATTTCGCACCGTCCCACTGGCTTGAACCCAGTACTTTTGCGCAAGAGGGGTATTCAAAATATGATAGAGTTTTTCGTAAAGGGCGGAGTCGTCAGGAGTTCCAGTTCCACCTTCATGGTTCATAGAGACCAGAACCGCTTCGGTGGGGTGGTTATCTAACCAGTTGTACAGAGCAAAAAAGAGATCCTCCATCCTGGTGTTAGGTGCCAAGAGTGCCTGGGCTATACACGGGACATCGGTGAGGGACGAATCGTAGAAAGTCAAAGGAGAAAGTACAGTGGTAGAATCCAATGGTATCGTTCCCAGGGTTGTAGGCAAAACGAAGGTCAAAAACGCGTACGCCCGCGTTCAATGAGTCCAAGATGGACGCCTGTTGGCATCGGTACCGGTTGGCTGGTGGGATCCTGGGGGAATATATCGTTCAACCTGACTCAATGCATGATTATAAATTGCTTACGGGCCAGTGTATCGAATCAGAGATGCCTGTGTCGCGTCCGAATAGTTCCCTAAAAATCCAAAGAGAGCAATTATTAGTTTGGGGCTTGTTTAAAATTATAATACATACAAGTGGACGTGTCGTGCGTTCCAGGAAGGTTCATATGCACCAACTTTGTGTTGTCGGAGAACTTGGCCATCCAATCGCAGGTCTTGGCCTTCTTCTGACATCCCGAGTCAATCCCTGTAGTATTAGCAAGGGTCGATCAATCCCGATGTCGTGTTGCTCGAGCTTGGCGCTTACCAGCAATCGGGGCTGAGCGATCCAAGATATCCGTCAACGCTTGTTGGGACAGGTACTTCTGAGATGATGACGGAACTGCCAACGCTGGGGCCGAGAAGAGAAGAGCCAAGGAGCATATGAACACAGTGAGGCGCTTTGGGAGATCGACCATTTGGTTCCAAGTAGACGCTGAAGGTCGTGGGGAACCAACAGGAATGTCGTGGTTATAAATACCACTGGCATATCAATTGCAAGCTGGGTTCAACTCTAAATGACAACTGCATGGTGAGAAATTGCCGAGCTGCACGCCAGATTCCACCACGAGGCGACGGAATATCTTGAGAATAAGCATCGAACGTGGATAGGAATTGGTGGAAGCAATGAATTGAGCGCTCGTACGTTCTCGTTCCGACGGAGGAAGACTAAACAAAATTGCGTCATTGGCCTCCGAGGATAATTCATTCTACAATAATGGCCCGTTTTGCGGCCGTTTATATTGGTCTGTGGCCCACGTGAATATCGAACGTTGGTTTGAATTTGACTTGATCTTTCTCATTTCACCGCCGCGCCTGGATAACCCGGGTCGTGAGTGTTCCTTCACCTTCCCGAATCTATGTGCCCCCAGTACTTATTGGTCCGTCGCGGTTAAGTGCAGACTACAGACAGTGACAAGTGCATATTACATAAATTCCAAAGGAGCGGGCAAGCCGAGGCACGTTTCTTGTGCACCACGAGGAACGTCAAGTCAACAACTCTGAAAAGACGCGCTCGAGCATGTTTGAAGCTTGAAGCAATCCACTCCGCTTTCGCTTGCCATGTTCATCTCTGCCGCCCTCGTATTCGCCGCCATCACCGTCGCCGCTGTCAATGGGGAAGCAGTGCACTACCCTCCTGCTTCCACTAATATCAACAACTTGACCTACGTGTTCAATGGGTCTGGTTCTCCCGGTATCTTTGACTCATCGAAGACGCCCAACTCCAAGTATGGTACTTACAATTGGTGTAACATGCCTCACGTCCGGCAACGAGAATACAAGCAAGTTTTCTCAGTACATATGATTTCAACACATCTAACCCCAAAATCGATCTAGGACACCACCGAAGGATTACACGCTTCAATATGTGGAAGTGATTCAGAGGCACCACAAGCGGACGCCGTACGGCTCGAATACCTTCTTCAAGGAAGACGTTCAATGGTCGTGTGATGGGGTTGGTGCTGTCTTTGGTTCGACAAGGTGAGAAACTTCCTATCAATTCCTCCAAATTCTCTTCTGACATTGCCTTTCAAGCCCTGGGACCAAATCATCTCCGGTTCAGGTTGGAATCATTCGGCTTGCCGCTCCGACCTTATTTACATATTTCTTGACAGTGGCAAGCCTATCGAGACACTCAAAACCCTTGGACCTCCATTGCAGCCCCCGGCTTTGTTGGGAGCACGTATGTCATTGTCTCGACCGCGATTCTTCACATTGATTAATCATTCACCAGTTGTCAATTCCCTCAAATCACAAGCGAAGGTCTAGAGGACTCCATCACCCATGGATCTGTGCGTTCACCTTTTTGTCCGTCATCATCTTTGCTTCATAAAATGTGCATCTACAGGACTTGAGAACGGTTTACGCGTCGCGACTCGGACTCGGCCCTAAATTCGATCCCAAAACTGCTAAAATCCGTACGTTCACGTTCACGGAGTAATTTTTTCATCCCTCACAAGATATTCACCTCTTTATTAGGAGTAACTAATAACGTCATCACATCTCAAGTTGCCAGCGGTCTGCTCGTTGGACTCTTCCCTCAGTCCAAATCCGACTACAACGCCGCCTTGATCCAGTCATCCAGCTTCGATTCGCTCGAGCCAACATATTCTTGCAGGGCTGCTTCCAATCTTCGCGCGGACTACACCACGGGTGCATCGGGCGAGCAATGGAAGCTTCATTTGTCTCAAGCCGCGGACCTTTACGCCAAACTGGACAAAATCTCGGGAATTGCCCCTGACGATTCTGGATGGCATGCGAGCTTCGATCAGTATGTCCATCTTTTCATCCAATGACTGTTTGGCTAATGGAGTTATCCAGCTACTATGACAATTTGAGTGCAAAGCAATGCCATGGGAAGTCGCTTCCTTGCAATCTGAATGATGCCTCTCTTTGCGTCACTCAAGAAGTTGTCGGTATCTATTTCGTCTGAACTTCATCTATGAATCTGAAGAAAAGCTTTTTCTCTAGGCCGACACGGTGTACCGTCTTGGTAGCTGGGAATATTCCTACCAGTTCCG